CAGCAATCCTATGAAGGAAATAGTATCATTTCCATTTAGAAAATGAACAAGGAAACATGGTCAGAGAGGATACACGGCTAGCACATGGCAGAGCCAGGGCACCCGAGTTCCAGACCCCCTCTGCTGTGTGCTGGGGCATCACAGAGACGCCCTCTGCCTTCAGGGTGTTTGCTGTGTAATTGGCCGCACACAGTAGGCATCTGGCACATAGTAGGTTCCCAATATATTTTGAACAAATGAATAATGCAGCAATCCTATGAAGGAAATAGTATCATTTCCATTTAGAAAATGAACAAGGAAACATGGTCAGAGAGGATACACGGCTAGCACATGGCAGAGCCAGGGCACCCGAGTTCCAGACCCCCTCTGCTGTGTGCTGGGGCATCACAGAGACGCCCTCTGCCTTCAGGGTGTTTGCTGTGTAATTGGCCTCAGCCACACCCTCCCGGTCTTCAAATACTGCTCCCTAAAGCCTGTCAGGAGTGGCTATTTACGGGTCAGGGAGTCCGGCCAGTGAAACTCCCCTTATAAATTATGAAGACAGACACATGTGGGTCAGGCTTGGAGAATTCGGTGTACGAAGGATCTTCCAGAACCTTGCTGGTCTACTCTGGGATTTTCATTCTCTTTCCTAGGAGAGTCACTGACTCAGGCAGCAGGTGTTGCAGAGCTCCCGTAATGAGCTCCCCGTCCTGCCCAAGGTGCTTCCCTCCTCCCGATGCCCCTGGGCTTCCATTTCCCACAGCTGGGGCCCTTGGCCTGACCACCAGCTCCTCCTCGGAGGCGGGTCTCCTCATCTCTAAACCTAGGGCTGTGTTCTGTCTTGTGTACCCCAGCACCTGAATGAGCATTTTGCAACTTTTAGATCCAGCCCTCATTCAGGCTCTGGAACTCTCTCGGGTACGATCTGAGCGTATCAAACCTCTTTCTGGAGATGCGGTTATGAAAATGGTGTCATTTTCATAAGGCAGCGACGCCCCTTCTCTGAATGGCCCCTAGACTTTGGTTTTAAATTCTTGAGCCTGGTTTTTTTTTCCAGCATTCCATCTTCGTCACTGTCAGAATGTCACTTAACTGTCATTTGCTTCTGACTGCCTCTAGCCGTCTCCTTCCTCCTAACTCATTGCTTAAAATCTCTTGAGTTGTTAGGGTGGTGTGCCGCCAAAGTAACAAGGCAGGAAGAGAGGGTCAGAGATGCTTCTTCCAACAAAAAAATAGAGGAGCTTTAATGCCTTGAGGGGGAAGCGGGGGGTGGGGAGGTGAGCAGGAGGAGGAGAGGTTCTTGATGTGTAAGAGGTCGCTTCAGGCATTCCTTTATACCCACCCAGAAAGCTGATAGATATTTGCTAACGGAATGTGTGAAGAGTCTAGCTCCTCTTCCTGGCTATTCCTGTGCCTCCTGCCCACCCCCCACCCCATCCTGCCCCCTGCAGCAGCTGCTGGAGACCAATGGGGGCTGAGGGTGCGGGGAGACACGGAACAGCAGCAGCAGGGAGCCCACTGCTGAGGGAGTGTCTGGCCTCAAATTACACTGTATCAGAATTTGGGCATAAAATTAGCAGCAGAGTTCTGTGTAGGAGGAG